GCTGAAGAAATTAAGTGTTGCAATTTCCTGGGCCTCATTAAGTACAAGATTTTAATATTTGGAGGGAAAGGAAAGCAGCTCTTTGAGTTCTTTGCTTTTATAAAACAGATTTACAAACTTAGAACATGAGGCAAAGAGGCTTTGTGATACCTTTTATTGGACCAACTGTATAGCTGGAAGAGCCATTGGTAAACTTTTGGGCATCAAGTGCCCTTCCCCACAAAGAATCCTTCCCTCTCATACATTTCCTGGACCATATGGCTACAACAAAACTCCAACCCTGGATCTATTTAGCAAGTTCCACAGACTTGTTCTAGAAAGGCATAAGACAAATGAAAGCTTATCAGTCCTTGGCCTCTGGCTGACAATAGTAGGGGAACAATTACCCAGGAGGAAAGGCCCAGGATATTTAAAAACTGATCATACAAAAACCACTAGAAATACATACCATAAGTAGCAATAATCTATTTGATCCTCCACATGAACACGGGCATATAACAAGGATATCCTGCCACAAATGCTCCTCAATTTTATTTTCTCCGGTGATGGGGAATGTAAAAAATCTCCTCGACTGAAATTACTAAAATAAATGCATTTAAGTACCTGAGCCCGGAATGTTGGCAGATGTTCTTCTCCCCGTCTGGCAAAGTCTTTGTACCCAAAACCAGGATCTTCAATGTAGCGGGACACATCCATGGATACCATCTCATCATCAAATGCTGGTAAGGATAGCAAAATAGTGCGTTGAGAACAGACATATCAGGGAGACCACTACTACCTCCCAACCCCCACTCCGACATAGAACTGTATAGAAAATTTAAAATAATATAAAGTAGCAGGACAAGGTCTTTGGGAGGAGACAGAACTGTGAGAATGTCAGTAAATTTTCATTTAGTTTATGGTATTTTGCTTGTGTGCATTTGTAAGATTTAAACATTTTAGTATTTTGTTTGATTTAATTTGAATAAGAGTTTCAGTAGCATTCTTATCTCTGCAAGCAAGGAGTCTAGATTTTAATTTTCCCCCCTTCCCTTCTGCTTATATTCTTTATGGTGGCTGGAATACAGAATAGAGGATGAATTTTGGGGACACGTTATGGGGACATGAAACAAGAAATGAAAGGGCTTGGCCACAGATTGGATTAAAAAAAGATAGATATCTTTAAAAAAGTGACCCTATGCAACTTTCTGGGCTGTTATGAAGAAAGAAGGCATGAATCAATGTAGTAAAGTTAAGGGAAGCTCAAAATGAATTTGAGATTAGAACAGACAATTATAGATGTGGCATGTTGGGTAACAAAACCAGCAGGACCGAACAGAGTATACACAGTAGTTTTTACTATCATAGCACTACATGCAATAGTAAACTACAATCATAGCACTCAGTCAGGTTCATGTTTTCTTACTATTATCATGCTCGTAGAGCAGCCTTATGGAGCTTCTGTGACATAAAACACGTATGACCAGTGTTATACCACTGCCATATACTTACTGACTTGCTTCCCACTGGAATAGGTCACTCCTTTGATACAGTGAAGTAAAGCTTGTACAATAAGACACTGGTGCACAGCACAAAAAATGAAAATATGTCCCCCTGACAAGCTAAACTACCCAGAGGGCCTGTTGTCTTGATATCTATCAGCTTTTTTTTTTTTTTTTTATAGAGCAGAATATGAGCAATCAAAAAGCAATAAATTAAGTATGAAGAGATATACAATACTTGGCTTGTAAATATCAATTCAAGACTATATGAAAGCAAAGAACTGACTGCAAGAAAGGCTGAAATTATACCAACAGCTGCAGTAACTAAGCATCTGTGAAGAGCTTCAACAATGTGTCACTAAGCAAGTACCCATTCTCTCTCAGGAATCAGTCTTTCTCCTCTTAACAAGCAGGTGGCTTGATTGTGTAACTACCTTTACAGGACTTGATTACTACATAGCTGACTGCATTTGACCCTCACATTAAAACCCTGGCTCACTTCCATGTGCATTGACAGAAAAGTTGCCATATGTCCACTGTTAGCACCTTAAAAATCCGTTAATCCAAGAATCACAGAGATGCTTTATCATGCTCTCTGCCTCATTAACCAATCAAAACATAACTGTGTGGGGAAAGAAATTCGCATGGCATCTGCTGTAGGTAATCTTGTCTGAAGATTTAAAAAGAGGTCCAACTTGCTGAAACTAGGTGCAGTCCGCTTGAATTGTATGGGATAAAGAAATATGCAGGCTACCCCGCACCCACCTACCAAAAAAACTCCACACATCCACACCTACCAAGAAAGAGAAAAAACCCTACCCAAAGCACAGTTTTAGCAAAAGAAGGTATACGTTTTTAAACATTTCATAAGGACCATTTAAGTTTTTATACTGTTACTGATTTTACTTTGAAGGTGCTGGGATACTATGGTAAGGAGTAACAACAGATAGACAAGAGAGTTTGACTACAACTGTAGAAATTAAAATGCTCTTTTTGAATCAATGAGAATTACATCCTGCGAGCAGACAGGTGTTTTTAGATCTAACTAGGAAACAATGCAACATTATGGTACAACAATATTCTTTTAGGGGTTTTTAAATGGTATGTTTTCAAAGAACAAAAAAGATGATCTCTGCAGATTTCCAATAAAAGAGACTGAGTTCCTTCATGTCTCCTAGCACACCAACAGCTACTGCAACCAAGTTAGGTAGGTACAGTTTTGCATTCTGAAGGAACAAATTTGATTTAACTCAGTCTGAAGTTCCTTTTTTCCACTGGCTTCTCCCTGTAGCTATAAGATGCACCTTGACATTATTATAGTATTCTAGGAAAACCCAGGGAGTCTCATAGATCAATACCCATTAAATCCCTTTAAAAAAAAGAAATAACCACTAAGCTACACATCTTAGATAGCTTAGCGTCTCCAACCATCTCCTAATAAAGCCCTTGAAAAACAGATCAAGAATTACTGACACAACATATAAAACAGACTCTAGCAATAACTTGCCATCAAGGTAGCAATTATAACAAATCATAAAGTAATTCAGAAAGAGACTTGTAATTTTGAGTTACTGTACTGATAAAACTGGTATAATGAAGCAACCTCCCAAAATACATAGATCAGAGTTATCCTCATCCTTGACTATGGTTTTTCTCTGTATCCCTCTGTTTCCAAGTGTATTAATACAAAAATTTCCAGAAGAACCAAGCTTCTTCAAAGTGTTGTAGAAGTCTACTCTTCAACTTTTCTATAAAAGTGAACTAGAATTCATACGACTACAGCAGCATGAAGCAGCAATTTCTGCAGAAAATTGTGTTGAATTTCTTCCTGAAACAGACTGACTTCCTAATAATTTTGACATTTGCAATTGCTTGGCTTTAAATCAGATAGGAAGCATCTTTACCATGCCATTAAGATTAAAGGAACTGCTACTAATTAATTTGGGGGTTGGGAACCTTCTGTCCCCACAAGTTTCTGCTTGTTCCTGTCCCTTTTGTGGGCTGCAAAGTGATCAGCAGATGTTGTGGAAGGGATACAGAATGCACCTGGGAAACATTCTGGAACACCTCCTCTGCTGCCCTGGCTGAAGCATACTGCCAATTCACCAAGCTGCCATGGGACGGATCCAATCTTTTTGCAAGTCAAATCCAGCCCACAGCCTGTAGGTTGCTGACCCCTGTCTTAGTGAACTGATTTGGAATAAGAATTCTAGATACAATGAAGCAAGACCCAGAGGCCAGGCAGAGTATGTGAAGTACCTCCAGTAACTACAAGAAGACTCTCTTTCTTTTCCTGTTCAAAACGAGTTGCCATCTCTTCCTGAGTTGCCTCCTCATCCTCTCTCTCTTCTTGCAGGCGCTTCATTCTTTCCATTAAGGCCTCCAGCTCACTTAAAGAATCTACCATCTGCAAAACACAAAGATATTCTGGAAGATTAGAAATTAAATTGCATAAATGCTATTTAAGGTTTTAACTCATACATAATATTCTCAAGTCAGCTGCATCCATGATAATACAATACAGTATAGACCTATATCATATGGTCTAAACTTTAAAAGATTCAAAATTTTTAAAAACTTTCAGAAGACAAGAGTAACTGAGAAATGTGTTCATTGCTTAAAAAGGAGGAAAAAGCCCTATTTAATAAACATTCCAGCATTCTGAAAGCTCAAGAAGGATGCTAATTTCCTACATAAACACTGACATGTACTTCAATAATAACTGTTAATATTAAAATTGACTTTTCTTATTCTCCTACTGCTGAAAGCTATGCTCAATATTCTCCAGCAGTGGACTGGAATGGCTCAGTTCAGGTGTGAGCTAGGCCAGCACTAGGACCCAGCTGCCAGCTCCTTCACCCCACTACCTGGCTGGGGTATGGCACAAACAAAGCTTCTCCAGCGCCTGGTTGCATGGAGCAGGTAAAGCCCCCTGCTGCTGAAGGCTGTTGAAGCCCCAGCTCTGTGGGCCAAATCCAGCCCACAGGTTGCCACACCCTGATCTAAAGAGTGAGATCAAAAAACAGAACCCAAGACAATAAAGTTAGTTTTATCTTCTATTTTAATGTCATTCTTATTGGCCCAAGCTACTTGCTTTTCCATATTAAAGAGAATATATTACAAGGCAGAAGCGAAAATTAGTACCACATATTGTAGGCACAAACCTACCTACAGCCTACTGCATTTCTCGTTCAAGTCATGCATAAACATTCTCTCTCCTTCCAATCCTTCCTAGATATATATAAGTCTGTTACTCACAAAATATTTTATTATTGAAATCTACTGAGCCCTCCACCAAAAAAGAGGAGGGATGGTCCAGCAGAACAAAATGACCTCTTCAAAGGATTACAAAGTAAGATCTGCAAACCTGGAATTTGCTATACACTATAGTTAACTAATTATTAGTCAAAATTCTCTCTGGGAGTTTAATCACAATTATGGTGAAGAGTTTTACCGATTCCTTTTCTACAAAAGGTCGTTTCAAATACTGGCCTTTTCTAGTATCACAGAAAAGGCCACAGTGACAATTCAGATCACCAATGTGCAATTTACCAACTCTGGGTGTTTATACATGTACTCTGGGAGCGTGTACGGGGGGGTGCTTCAATTAGAGTGGCTCTCTAATTAAAGTGCCTAGAGCATTACGTGCATCATCTTCCCCATGCTGAAAAATGGCAGCGGAGGCACTTTAACTAAAGCTCGTCAAATAAACGTTACTTAAAAGCGTCCCTGTCGCCATTACACTGCTCAGTAAGTACAGCGCATTAGAGCAGTCTCACTGCATGTGTGTAGGTGCCCTCTGATTGCAAAATTTTAGCACCCACTGTCTTAAGAACCTCTGGAGTTAAAAACAGTAGTTTATGCTATTTGAAATCTAGGGTTTTCAGTTTTGTACTGTAAAGAGGCCTTAGTGCCAGTGGTTTATGGAAGAATAACCATTAAAATTCATTTGAATTCAAGACTGCAGTAAGAATAATGCAATTTTGAAATCTGTTACATTGCAAACTAAAGTTAAAACTTTTTATACCACCATTTCCCTGGCACTGCAGTAGTAGACACAAAAGCCATACTACACTGAACTTCAAACAAGAAAGAATGCGTGTACTTTGCATTAACAAATTCCTTGGAAACAAGCAACAGCATTCTCTTGCAACACTAACCCCAAAGCTGCTACTTCTGAGGGATGCATTCTCTATACTGTTGTCATTGGCAAGATCACAGACACAGAAGTTGTTGACTGCTATAAGTCTGACCCCATTAGAGGCATCTGGATCTCTCTCGGGATTAATGCCACTACCAAAGACAAAACTCGCCAAGGCATGATAATGTGCCAACAGGACCACAGCATGCACCAGTTCAGGAAGAGACCAATTATTTTCCCCAGTCTTGACAAGTTTCTGAAATAAGAACAAATAAGGTGTAAATATACAGGCTTTAGGGATGAACACAGGAGTGAGAATAATTTATATTTACATTACATATGGTAACATTTACATTAAGTGAAATTAACTTCTAGTTTCCTTTTACCAGAACTCCCCCCTCTCAGTGCCAAGGCCAGCAATACTGTCTTATTTTGAACTCTCCATATTAAATGACCATCTTTAGGGAAAAAAAGGCTTTACAGAAATATTTACATAGTTACTTGCCTCTAACATAATAAAATAAAACCCTTATCTGGTCTCTGGTGAATTGCAAAGGATCTCCCAAGGCAACTGCAGCAGAGAAATATAGCTAAGGGGAACGCCAGGAAGGAAAACGGTAAGAACAGACAAGGTAGACATATGATGTTTCCCCCAAAATAAGTATACAGGAAAAAAAAAGCAGAAATATAAAATCAGAAAGAATAAGCAGCTCTTGCAGTACAAGTGCTCCTTGCACTTTAACTTAAAAAACACACAAAAAAACACACCCTCTCTCAAAACTGCCTTAATCTGACATTCTATTAAACAGCAATAAGAAGGTTGTGTTCTAATTGCCTCCAATTTATAGCAGAAACATCTTCCTTTATATCCTGCCTACCAGAAGGACAGGTATTTATAAACCTTTTGACCACAGTGGGCATGTCTACACATGCACTTTTATGTGCATTAGCTTATTTTAATGCACAGTAAAGCATCACTAAAAAACTGTGCTATATAGTTAATGCACCTTGAAATAGGCTAATGCACATTAAGTGTCATGTAAAAGCCATGCTCTTTAGTTAATGCGCATTAAGACAGGCTAATGTCCATTTTCCTAGTACCTCATAATGGAGGGCACTTTTACATGCTGATCTAATTAAAGTGCTGCTACATCTCCTGTATAAGTGTCCCAGCGCTTAAAATTGGCAACATGAGCACTTGAACTAAAGCTCATTCCATGAGTTTTAGTACAAGTACCCCCAACACCATTTTTAAGAGCAGGGATGCTGCTATACAAAATGCAGGAGGCTGCTGGAGCATGGTAATTGTGTAGTAATTAAACCAAGTCTGCTCCAATGTGCTGGAATTCCAGAGGCTTGGAGCAGCCTCGGCGCTTGTACACAGGTGCCTGGAGTTACTAGATTTAATGCACATTAATGCACATGTAGACTTGCCCACTACTGGGTATTCATAATCATTCAGTCACCCATATTACTATCTGCATCAGAAAATCAGAATTTCTTCTATAGATGGAGATTTCTAGATTAACAGAAATGTTCTAGGCCCTAACTAGGTACATACTGCTAATGCTAGATACTTTCTGATCGGTACCTGAATGTGCTCTTTTGTGATCAGCCAGGGCCGGTGTGCAAGAAGTTTGTTTATTTCATTCAGATTTTTCAGTCTTTGTGGTATATATTCCACTCCATTTAACCATTCTGCAATCCCACCAGTCTTCAGAAACTCATCAACATGCATATTTATTAGGTAGGAACACTGATGTCTGGCAGCAGCCTAAAATACAACAACACATTTAGAGTACAGATTGATTTTGTTTTATGTTGAGGAGAGATGTACACACAAGATGAAAATACCTTCATACTGTGAAAGGTTAGACTATAAAATACAGTATTTACTCAAATAGAAGACTATCCTGATTATAAGACTACCTCCAAATAATTACATTCTATATATGGAAAATTTATAAATTTGTTATAATTTCCAGGTATAGAATATAATTATTGGAGGTCTGCCTAGAACTCCTCTTCCCACTGCTATAGCAAGGAAAATAAATTGGGGGTGGGGAGGCGAGAATCAGGTAGCCCCTTTGCTTTGTTTCACCTCATTTTCCCATGGCAGCCCCTTTCCCCTCTCCTTACTATCAGACTCTGCTTTTTCTGAGCATACAGAAATGATGAGCAGATTTGAAAACAATAACCCTGAAATTAAACTTGGCTGTAGAAATGTGCATGTAGTACCCATGCATTTAGCTCATCCAGAATTGATGCATATTACCTTTTTTTAAAAAGCTGCTGCAAAGTTTTAGCGCAGGCGCTCCAAAAAGATATTTTCAAGCAACACTTTTGTACCTACTTATATAAAGTACAAACTATGCACAGTATTAATCCAAAGCCAAAAGGCTCATGATTTACCACCCAGCTCCTTGGGTTGGGCCCCAGAGGCACCAGCATTTCAAGTCATGGTGATCCCACAGCTCAGCGGGTGTGTGTGTATTCCAGATATCCACAACAAAGGATCCATGTGATAATTAGCGCTCACTCATGACTGGACTTGGGTGTTCTTGTCACAAGTCCTGGGATCCTCCAAAAATTTATCTGCAGATGAGGCACAGGGCAACCTGGTCCAGCTTCACCTCCCAGAAAGCGGGGCCACATCAATCATGTGTGCCAGGCTGAGAGAGGGGGTGACAGAGGGGTTCTGGGTGAACTGTTTGAGGCCCTGTTTTGTGATGTTTGCCAGGCATTTAAGACTGGTGAAGAAACAGGAATCACTGGAAATGGTGAAGAAAGGCGCAGCTCAATTGTGGGAGTGAAGAGGAAGTAAAATGTATGCATTGTAGTGGCTCCCCATGACTTTCAAGTGTCAGTAGCAAGGGGGACTGCTCTTAATAGGCACTACTGTACGTTTTATTCAGATGGGCTGTGCCAGCCTATCCTTATGGGTTTGCCCAATGTAGGCCCTATGTTTTAAAGTCATGTTCAGTGTTGGCTGCATTTAAATCACCTTCATAGTTGGTTTCGAATTTTAAGTACTTGCTGTTTTTGGCAGCAGTTTAATGAAAGGCAATGTATTTAGTGAGATTTCCTTGTATATAAGACAAGGGGCTTTTTTTCCCCATACCAAATGGATGGAAAAAAGTTTTCTTGTATTCAAGTAAATACAGTATTTGTACCCAATTAAGACCAGTTCTTCAATAAGAATCAATTTAATTAGTTTTCCTTGGATGAAGCAGGGTGATTACCCAAAGCAAGCATGTTTAAGGTGTCATTGTTTTAAACACTGCCCATGAAATTTCACTTATGGACATGTGTGAGACATGTAACCTAGTGTAAATTATCAAGTGGCAGGAACTCCAACTCCTCACAGAAAAGGACCGAATTAGTGGCCAGGCTTCTTCCCTCAGAAGGGAGCCAAGGTAAGCTCACTCTGTAAAGGAGACTGTTCAAGGGCAGTCAAGCAGGTAAGAGAATGAGAATGGAAACAGCAATTCTTGGTACATACCATTATAGCAATGTAGTGCCTATAGGGCAAAGGAAGGGGTCCATCCATACGCAACATATAAAACTGGCTGCGGAGGAAAGACTCCAAGTACTGAGTGTGTAAACTCATGACCTGTGTGATGTTGTCTAGGCGACCAGATGTTGAGTATTCTTCCACGATAAGGTTTGTACGTTCATCTATGCCATTTGCTTGCATAACCTTTTGAGAACAAAGCAGAGAAACCAGGAAAGATGGTTTTTCCTCATATAAACCTGGATTCAAACATTTTCATGGTGCACATATATATGTGCACGCATACATTTCCAACTTCCATACACTTTGGAGTGGCCAGACATATACACAGGCAGACACTACTTGACAAAACCAATAAGAAACCACTAGTATACAGAAAACTGAGTCCTGTATACTCAGTCTACTACTTTAATATTCAGCCAAGATGATCAAGGACAATGTTCAGTAAGTCATTCTAAAAGTAAGATTTTGAGCTGGTACAAATTAAGATAAATTTGTAGAAGTCAATGAATCCACACAAACACATACCAGCCCCCCCAAAATGTTACTTCAAAGTTAATAATGGAGCATAGCCTGGTTACATATATAAAGCAGAGAAGTGGACTGGCATTTACTTTTTTATGTCTGTATAATTAGAGAGATCAAGTGTTATTTCCCCATAATATTCAAGCAGTTTTTAAAAGTAGGAGCATAAAGCCGTTTTTAAAACTAAAGCTATTGTTTAATTATTGCAGCAAATTCTGTTCCTGGGATACTAGATGAAATAACACGGTATTAAAAAAACAAACCCAAAGGACAAAAAGCCAGCAGCTCTTGAAATACAAGCCTGAACAAAAATATTAGCAGCTATTAGCTAATATTATCTCCAAGGACACTCAGCCTAAGCATGTTAATTGTTTAAAAATAAATAAAAGATTACAAGCAAAAGACTAGAAAACCCGAGTTACTCTTTAACTCCCCTCCAGCAGAATCTTAGGTAGCTGGTTTATCATTAAAACTACCACAATCTTCCTTCCCATTCCAACGAATGTATCACAGATTAAGGTATAAAATTGCAGCAAATACTCAATATCATGTTAGCTTGTAAATGGAGAATCAAAATACTGCTTTGATAAAATGTCATTGAAAATAAATAATCAGCCTGAATGAGTTACTGCATCTTCACTTTTTTACCTCGAGATTTCCTGGTGTTCCATGTGGGATGAGAAGGCAGAAATGGAGGAGACTTGTATGGTCATGTAATTACCCAGTCCAATCAATTACCTCAGGTAGAATTCTTCTCTGTTATTCCTTTCTTAATGACGTCTACTAAGACAAAGGCCTTCCAACAAGCTTTACTCTGATTTTCACATTACATCTGTTCTTAATTTCATGCCATTGGTCCATCTTATACCCCACTGATCCATTCTAAACAAAATTCCTTCACTACTCAGTTATTAAACAGTTCAACTACTACTTATAGACTTAGGTCTACTTCAGTTTTCTAAGGATTCTTCAGGTACATATTCATCTCAGCATTTCCTTTATTTCAGTCCCTTCAGTTCTTGGGTGAATTTTGGTAATCTTTTCTGAATTTTATCCAGTTTCTTAGTGTCTCTATCTTGTAAAAGGCTGCTTGAAGACATTAAAAAAAGCAAACAAAAAAGTGGTGCTTCATTTTACACTTGGCATGTTCCCGCGCCCAGCCCAGTACATGCCCAGAAGAGGCACAATGTCTGTATATTTTGGGTGCTTTAGCGGGGCTTTGTTGGTGCTTTTATCCACTAGCTGATTGAATCAGCTATTAGATAAAAAAGCACCAAAAAGCTCTACTGAAGCACCCGATCTATACAAATGCTGCAGAGCTGGGTTGAAGTAATGCACCATTTCTTTTGGTAAAGCATGGATTTTTCTTTTGTTTTTTGAATGTCTGCAAGCAGCCACGAAGCACTCAGAACTGAGAAGAGTATTTCAGGTGCGACTAGACTGGTTCTGTTGAGAAAGGAATAGGTCATATGCTGCTGCCCCTTCCATATACAGCGAAAGAATTAACACTAACTCTTTCAGCATTACTGTTTCCCTCATTTATCTCCACATTAAATATTTTGGTAATTTGACCAAATATATTAGCTTGTATTTTCCAGGTGGACTTCTTGAACTATATTTCTTGCCTGTATAATTCCATTTATACTACTTTCTTGTCCTTACAGGTATCTGTACTTCTTCCAACATTAGTATCATCTGTGAATTTTGTTAGCATGCTGTTTACTCCCCTTTCAAAAATCTTAGCAGACATCTTCTTGTTCATGTTTGTCTCGCACCTTTTTCCCCTACCTGCCTTTATTTTTCAACTTTCATCATAACAATCTGTATCACAGAGCATCTGAATGAAATACGTCAAATACCTGATTTGCAATTGTAATTCAATGCATTCCCCGTCACCCACTTCTGGGGTTGAATCAGATCTAGCCTGCAGAGCTAGGGGGCTTCATCAGTGTTCTGGTGGCCGAGGGTGGGCTTTGCCCATGCTGTGGCCAGAGAGCAGGTAGAAGCAGCCAGGCCCCCACTGGATTTGAGCTGGGTCTTTCCAGACTGCCACTAGAAATGTTGTCAACAACTCCATCACCAAAAGCAAAAAATCTGCCTAGCAAATTGTGTCATTGTAATGTTACTCATTTCTTGCAGTTTTTGACATGCTAAGAAGTTTATTCCAATATTCATTCCACTATTTGGAAAGAGACTGCAGCCAAGCATATGGAATAATGACTGCCAGAATTACTTGTGCCTGAATTACTTGTGCCTGACTGGACTTCTGTTGGTGCAGTAATTTCATTATGCAGCTCTTAAAATCTACATGTTTAGGTTTTCTTATCATACTTTCTCTTGTATATCAATAGTGTTTTCTTAACTAGAACCCTCCTTGCCTCTCAGATGCCTGATTTTTTTTCCTCCTTAACAGACAATTTAAAATATTTTAGCTTCAGATTCCTGTATGAAATTAGTAAAAGCCCTTGTATCCTCAGTAAGTTTGTCTAGCAGTGAGGCACACAGGCTGCCCATGCCACTTATAACACATGTGGCAACTTGCAACTAGCAGTGGCACGTGAAGACAAGTTGGGGGTGCCATTTGTATTAAATGGCAAAACGACTGGCTCACTGAGGCATAAAATCTGATCTTTGCAGTAACTGTTTTTCAGAATCACCCCCAGACAAAACAGGACTCTCCGTGATCTAAAGTAGCACTCACTGCCCACATGAACAATGAACTCTGGCCCCAAACATTTTCATTTTAAAACTTTTGGTTATTTTAGTTTACAAACTTACTTCATTCTCTGGTATAAAGGCACTTGGTCCTCTTGTTAAAGGCTGAGAAACTTGGATTCTTTTTTCCTGCAAAGGAAAGTCAGGCACTTCTATCAGAATTATCAAGGATAACATTAATTCACTTTATCATACAAGATTAGATATTACAGGTCTTGACATGGTTACTTTTTAAAAGACTGCTTGCATGTTTTACAGCTTGTTAAACAGATAAAGCTATCACACCATATCACGTGAATTAAATAGAACAATCTTTTAACTTTGCTCTAATAAACTGCATGCAGCTTGGTCCATGACAAAACAAGTATAATTTTTACTGCTTGTTAGATCTAGGGAAGCATGTGTGCTAATGGTGCACACACTTCTGGCACATTGCTGATACAAGTATACAAAAGTACCCAACCCAGAAGGAAGTTCTTCTAGAGCTAACGTACACAAGATATATATAGACAAAGCCACGCTTCTGACATGACTCGATCCCATTTCTCTTAGTATTAGAATCTGGTTGTATAACATCTAAGCATTTTGAAGAATAGAAAGGTTTTGTAGGTGTCAAACAGCCTTTTCATAAGACTGTTACCAAACACATTGCAACTAGAATGATTTAAGAACTTGTAGTCAGACAGTTGTACCTTGAAACTCCGACGAAGGTGGCTTAGTTGAGGTGGACCAAATTGAGAAGAGAACCCAAAGTTTAGCCTATGCTTGTTATCTTTCTAATAGGTTGGAAATGAACCTGAACCTGAACTTGTACAGGTTACTGATTGGGGTTCCTGCCCAATCAATAACCTGTACAAAACACCGAACTCAGAGACTGCCTTCATCACAGTAGCAGTTCAGACATCCCGTTATTCTGCCCACATAATTCTCCTGTTAACTCAAATAGTATGCAACGAGCTAGAAAAATATCTTTTGGTAAAAGTTGTCTGCTGTGAAGGTGTATGCTGATCATACAGTCTAGATCAGTGATTCTCACTGGTGGACCACAAGAGCAGCTGGCTGATAATGCTCCCTCCCCTACAAAGTGTTCTTGGAACCAGGCTGCTCCCCCCATCCTAATCCAGGCTTAAGACCAGGGAAATTCAGTCCTGATGCTTCCTATGCCAGAACTGGCACGCACAGAGCAGCCTGATGCTGGGAATATTCAAAAGGGGAGGGAGTAGTTGGACCACAGAAGAGGTAGACAGCAGGTTCAGATACGCTGAGAACCACTCATTTAGACCAGGGGCAGGCAATTATTTCAGGCGGAGGGCCACTTACAGAGTTTTGGCAAGCCATCGAGGGCCACATGACAGGCAGCCAGGGACAGATAAATATTAATTTTTTAAGTTTTTTAGGGACCCCAGGGGCCGCATTTTGCCCACCCCTGATTTAGATTATGCTCTGGTGTGAACGTCTTGATCTTATTTGCCCATGCTCCTATGCCTAAAACAATATGGATTACTGATAATCCTGATGGCCATTGCCTGACTCCTTTAGCATGTAACAGTCACAGAGAAACAGAGCTTGCAAGAGACCTCCAGAGACCATCTAGTCCAACTCCCTCCCTGAGGCAGGATTATCCCTATCCAAACCATAATCTAAACTCTTCATGAAACTACCGGCAACCCTGACAAAACATAGACCTAACACCCTAACTTATGTTCATGTCACTCACTAAGTTAACACCGTCTTGGACCCCATTTTGTGATATCATGGGTGTCTGAGGCTTCCGTTTCTCACCAACCTCATATCTTGCCCTAAATAAGATGAATACAACCATACGTATGATACAAAGCCCACAGGACCTAAAACTAAGATAAGAGCCAGGTCCTAAAAAACTTCACATTAACTTCCTCTGACCAGACTATATTTACTACATGAGACAGATGAGCAGCATTAAGCACTCATGCTTTCTTTAAAAAGAAAAGAACTGGACTCCGATTAAAAAAAATAAGAAAAAAAACAACCCTTATGGATCTCAATATAGTTCCACCTAAGTGAGAGTCTTTTCACTAACTATGAGTGGAGCTGAATCAAGAGAGTTACAACCCAAATGTTATCTCTATGGAAGATAAACTAATGGATAATGGATAGTAATAGGAGCACAGAAATTACATATAGGTGACTATCCACTTGTATATTCCCTATGGGATGCTATATGTAGGTTACATTACATGCATCCTATTATTTGTAATTCATAAGGAATTTAATCTTCCTAAGAATGAACCAGTAAATCCAATTTAGGTTAGTCAACTAACATTTATGAAGAAAAAAAACCTACACACATCTAACATACACAAATATTCTCTCTCAAAAGGTTTGCACAAGTTTTACTGCTAGGTACCAAATAGCTTCTGATGACGGAGGTGATCTTAGATCTGTAGGTATCCATTACTTCTTGCATCATGGGTAAAACAAGATAATTAGTTCTCCAATCAAAGTGTATAGTTCCTCCCTCAAAACCTCACACCCTCTCAGACTTACTGAGGTTCCTCACATATCTGAATGGATACAAGCTTTTACTCTCTCAAAAACAAGAATGCATGTCTCTAATTACTTGTTAATGGTGGGTACTTTATAGTAAGTTATACATCAGTGCCAGGTTCAGATTTTCACTCTAAATATTTTGTTCTCCTAATGCAGAAGTCTCAGACTGTACATCGAACGATCCTTAAATGCCCATAACAATTCTAGAGAAGAGTCTGATTAAGTACGACAGTCAAGCTGGTACATAACTACTGTTCTGAGATTACCATAAATGCTAGTATTTTCAGCAGACTGCTGCACAAGATTGTGAAAGCACTAGAACATGTGTTATTCTGCTTGTGTTACTTTGTAGACCCTGAGAAGCCATGCAAGAACAGTGCAGATTATGCAGGAAAAATGTTAATTGATAATCTGATGATACACAAGGAAGTCCTGATGGGACCTTGAGAAGAGAAAAATGAAGAATGTACACAACTTTAAAAAAATAATAGGAGTTGATTACATAAAATGCAGTCCAGGAGACAATTTACTGTAATTTATCAACTATAAATGTTTCAAGTCCCAAGATACCGTAAAATATTTTTATGAATCAAAAGATGTTAGTCCTACAGGGGTAAAAAATATCTATTTCTTGAACTAGATATGGGGATATTAAGATGACACTGACATACCTATCAATAGGAGTGCATAGTAGGTAAAGAAATAAAAGATAAAAGCATGTTTCTTCAGGTAATCAGACAGTCAGCCATGAAAACAGGATTTGATCTGTCCTTCTCTCAAATATTATTAACCCAATATTTCCCTTTAAAATAAGCTTCATTTCAGTCTGACATGATTTCAGCTACAAGAAGTAACTCAAGCTTTTTATGTTTGTGGGTAGCTACGATAAGGATTTTGGTAATGGTAGGAAATTCCCCTCTAGATAGTTACCTTCAATTCACATGCCAACCCATTTCCCCCTTACAATCGACAGCTGTTATACCTTCTGAGTTTGATAGCACAAATCTAGAATGCAACCGAAGCTGGCATTAAATCGCCTCCACTGTCAGCAGAAATGTAGCGTAAGTTTATGACTGAATAAAATACGGCTGGTAACACACTCTCAACTGTAAAGGGGACAAATTCCAAGCTGCTCAACACCTGACTTTTTGGAAGGGAAAATCACTTTCCTAGCAAATTGTCTCCCTCTTTCTTCTGCTGCAAAATTCTCTGGGTTGCTGTTTTGATCATTTTGCCCATCTGTGTGAGCATATTTCCACATGCAAACATTTCACAAGGCTGATCAGACTAGGGCATAATCAGGGCTTTACCACATGCAGGGTGCATCTACACAAGACGCTTACAGCAGTTGCCGAATTAGCTTTGCAGTAAAGGGTCACCATCTACACAAGTGGTGCTATTAGGCTAGAGTAAACTAATAAACACTGCCATCGGATTGTACACCCAACACAAGTACTATTCTTTGGTGGAGTTATTTACTCTGCCACAATGCATGTATAGACAGTGAGCAGTGCTGGTTGGGGCACTAGGGTGCTTCCTGCCTGCCAGCTAGCCCCACACTGTAGCACCCTGTGACGGGAGGAAAGGGGGTCCCAAGAAGAGCCCAGAGAGACAGGAGCACAAACTACCTGCCTTCAAGGCAGGGGGGAGTTTCTGTGGTGAAAAGGGCCAGTCCCGAAGTTTTAGGAGCACATGATCCTTCCAGATTGGTAGAAGGGGCAACATTTCAGGCCCTATAGAAGGGCAGAAAGGAGAGAAGAAGTGATGGACGAGTGAGACCAGAACCAGAAGTGGCCAGAGCTGTCAATCTCCTGCAGAAGACAAGGGAGAAGGAACTGAGCTCTGGGAGAAAAAGTTGCTGGAGAAACCCTAGCTGTGGAAAGCTGATAGCCTGCAGGGAGCAGACAGAGTGGAGAGGACACAACAGCTCGAGGCAGAAAAAAAGGAAAGAGGAGGGAGGGAAGGTAGCTGGCTTGCCCTAGCATGGGACTGTTAAAGTAAAGCCAGCCCCAAGGGAGGCATTGGTCCCGACCAGAGATCTGGGCCCCAAACTGCAACTGGGACTTGAAGGTAGGAAACTGGGGATTCATGGGACGGCATGAATTAGACAGCTGTGAACAGTTTGATTGAAATATTGAGGACTGAAGTGATTCTGGCTCAGTTCGATTCTGGATTTATGATCTTTCTTTTTTCCTAGAGAAGAACTTTTTGGTTGAAGTCTACCAGCCCAAGCAGTGGAGCGAATTGATTTGAGTTTATTTTCTGTTGGGACCCAGGACAAACTAACATAAATTGATTAAGACGGTCCTGAGCTGAAGGCTGATTCTGCATTTGTTTTTATTCTGCAGTTATTTTTATTTTGACTTTATTTATATGGATATAAATTGAGTGTTATGTAACATCCGAAGTAACTGACAATTTATTGGCTCTATTGAAGATGTGGTAAGAGTGGAATGTGAGGGGAGGAGGAGCCCCATGAAGAATAGTTGGCCCAGGTGGGCAAGCAGGGTTAACGTTTGGCCTGTATCCATCTCCTGGTAAACTTTATTAACATCAAGGCGTCACAGGAGAAAGATGGGCATTCCAGATTGGGCAGTTGT